GGAATATCAAAGCGTCTCTAGTCTGTCAATGGCCCAGCCCACTACCACCACTACTACTACTATGTTCTTAAAATATTGCTACTCGAAAAACATGTATATATTTTAAAAAAACCCACAATTTTCAGTCTTTGAATATTATTTTGAGTATTCAAATTAGAGCGCTGAAAGTGGACCGTACATGATCATACACAAGGACTGATTTCTTATTCAAACAGCCTATTTTGAAAAGGTAGCTATAGATTCGAAGGAAGAGAACGTATTGCTAACTTGTTAGAAATTTCATTAAACATAATAGTGGCGAGTAAAAATAGTTAAATACGTACCAACTATGAGATCATTGCCCTGAACGCCCTGCCATTTTACTGTCCAGCCTCCACATTGATAGCCGAGATCATCAGCATGAGTTCCTGCTACTAATATCTTGCTTGCCTTCTTTGGGAGGGGAATTAATGGTCGATTAGAACTCTTAGAATTCTTCAAAAGAACAAGCGACTTTCTCACGGCTTCCCTTGCCAGTGTCCTGTGTTCCTGTAAAACAATTTCTAGTTTTGTTTAAACGTAAATGAGTATAAAAATGCAAGTGTAAAGTTCTGCTGCATAGCTCTGCAGCCGACTGATAACCTGACTTCCGAGCTTGTTAACCAAGCTTAGATCAGTCAACGGGTTCTCAAAGAGACCCATGACAAACTTGACCCGTAATATCCTCCTCACAGCATCATTTATTCTTCTCGTCGGTATAATGTTGGTCTTCACTTGAAAAGTCAGAATATCAATGAACTCCATAAAATTTTCGGCGAGCATAACCTGGAGTAAATACGGCACTGACATTACCATAAGTATCAAAAACCTCTCAACTTTCATTACAAACAAATATGTCCTCTCTTCAAATTCTGCATAAATGATTACTGTTTTGATAAACAGTCGAACCTAACCATGTCTATTCCGGAAAGAACTCCAGCTTGAACTGAATAAGAGTAGTTTGCCCCTGGAGGGGTCGTAATCCTATCGATACCCTTCCAATCTGACGCGACAATACCCTGAAATTAATGAGTACGTCAACTTAGTAAGATCAATTCATTGAAGGGCCACAAAGAAGTCAAAATCACGAATCATTCTACTTTTTTACCTTGAATTTAAGCGTTTTCTTGAGGTAATCTGTGAGAAGATCACGATGCGCATGCATTTTCGCTCCATTCCAGCTAGAGTAACCCACCATGACTGTTGCAACACCTTTCATAATCGAGTCTAAGTATGGCGGCATGTGAATGCTAAGCAACCCTTGAAAGTCGATCATCGTATTTCCCTCATCAAGGCCTCCGATTGTACCTCCATCCCCCACAAACTCCTTAGCGCAAGCCGCAACTTTTGTCCTTGGGTAATAAATAGGATTATATTTAAGTGAAAAATGAATTCGGCATCTTTCTTNNNCTTAAACCCTATTTTTGATGGAGGGAGCAGAAATTAGAGGAGATTTAGAGTCATACTTGCCAGCAACAAAGGGGATGCCCTTTCGTTTGCCAGGCGGGATGTCACCCTGTAAACCGGTTATGCTCTCAGTCATTGCACGAACAATCTCAGGATCTTCACTGTAGCTTTCGTAACACCGACCCCACCTTGGGTCCCTGCAGACCTATAACAACACAAATAGATAAAAAACACAAGATATCCTTATAATTAATCTCGAAACATTTTAAAAAACACCACGATGACATGTTTTATAGCGATTATAGTTTTGCCGTTTTTTACTTACAGCAAGTCCGGGCGCAAAAGTGTATGGGATTCCTGTGGCTCTAACTTCAATTGCAGTGGCTGCACCAATCCTTTTCACAAGGTCTGGGTCTCTGTTTGAATCATCTTCCCTGTTAGATGCCTCTCTTTTTGTTTTTTTGTTAAGACTTAATATGTAGTAGTATGAATGAAGCATGCAAAATAAATTGCTATACAGTGACGTAATGAATTCATTGTGATGGGGCTTCCAACTAGGGTTGCAAACGAGCCAAGATGAGTCAAATATTGGCCATATTGAGTTTTGCTTGATTTTTCTTAATGATGCTCGAGCTCGACTTTTTAAGGCTCAGATTGATTCGATAAAAGTGTACAAATGTTCGAGATTTTAATATTGTAACTTATCTAAATATTTATTTAATGATATTTTTCTATAAAACATTTATAATTTAAATTACTATATATATATATTTAAAAATATTATTTAATTGAATATCGGTGCATCCATAGATTCGATAAATGAATCATTGAATTATTAGGTCGGATAGTGACTGGTTCGGTTTAAGAACCGCGCGTGTGACTGTAAAAGTATATATTTTAATTTTAAAAATGATTACAAGTCAAATTAGCATGTCTTTGTTAATAATAAGATGGTAATTTTGGTGGATTCCAAAAGGAAGCTACTGCTTTGTTTTATGAAATAAGTAGGGACTTTATGATGCTACTAATGATGGGTTTGTTACTATATTCAAAAGCTAAATCACTCTTTAGCTTTATGAAATAAGAAGTGGGGATTTTAAGATGCTCCTAATGATAGTTTTGTTATTAAATAAAATTAAACTATTCTTTTAATGAAATAAGAAATGTGGACTTTAAGATGCTACTAATGATTGTCTTGTTTATTAAAAATTTAAAATAATTAACCAGGGTGGGAGGAGGTCGTTTTTCTTATTTTTTTTAATGAAATAAGAAGTGTGGACTAAACATGCGGCTAATGATAGTAGTGTTATTAAATTAATTAGGATGGGAGGATGCTTTTTTTTAATTATTATATATATATTTATTTTAGAAGTATGATATGAAGTGTATGCCTATATCTCCCATTAGAGCTTGTGTTTTTGTTTACCGAAACATTTTTACTCTAACCATTGTATAGTCTTACATTACAATTTATGTTTTTCTTTTATTATCTTTTTCAGAAGTATGAAACGTAAGTCTATTTGTCACATTAGAATTTGTATTTGTTTAACAAATTTTCTTTTTACTAATTTCTTTTATATTTAAATTGCTCCAATTAGAATTTGTATATGTTTAACAAAATATTTAAATTTCTTTTATTGTTTTACTAATTTCTTTTAGAAGTGTATGCCTATTTCTCCCATTAGAGTTTGTCTTTTTCTTTCTGGAAACCATTTTACTATTAGAATTCATGTTTTTTTTATTATCTTTTTTACAAGTATGAAACGTAAGTCTATTTCTGACATTATAATTTGTATTTGTTTACCAAAATAATTTTTTTCTTTTACTAATTTCTTTTATATTTAAATTGCTCTAAACTGTAATAATTTTTACCTGGTGGCCCCAAGTCCAACGTTGTGAGGAAAAATAGTAGCATTGTAGACATTATTGTTGCCATGAACAGCATCAGTCCCATAAATGATTGGGATGCCGAGTCGGGTCGAGAGCGCACCCGTTTGAAGATCATTCACCATTTTGACCCATTCCTCTGCCCCGGCTTTTGCCCCGGGCCCACTGCCCGCTCCACTAAACACACTTCCTATAGGTTGCAAAATTATTACAATTATCATTACTATATTTCAATATATAGCTCTTATCTCTTTTGGTTGTATTCCAAAAGTTGATTGCCTTTAGACAAGAGTGGGAGGATATCTATAGTTAAATTGTCAAATATGTGGTACTTATTATGGAACTATTTGAAAAAAAGGTACAAAATTCTTTCACATTTATTTTTGCCAAGAGAGAGAAACATTGGAAAAATTGTCTTATATTAGAGAATAGTGTTGAAAGTAAAGTTTGGGTGAAAATGATGGATTTTGATAAGGTGAATGGATGTAACATGCATTAGGGAAAGTGATATGACATACAAATAATAATATGATGATTGTTATTTAGAGTTATGTGAGCTATACACGTCGAGTATTACAAAAAAAAAAAAAAAGTGCCATTAATGATTTCTTCATAGGTTACATATTTGTACGTCCTATGATAATGAGAAAAAAATGATAGTAGACCAACTGAATTATTCAACTATTCACCGTAGGCATATTAAAATGTATTCACCAAGTACATGTTAAGATTACATAATACTTCAATTATATATTAAATATGCTAATGTCTTGCCATATCATTAGGTGAACATATTAAGGTTGTGTTTGGTAAATATACAAGTTAGCTTATAAACTTCTTATATTCAAATAAGTTTAGTTTGGTTAGACAAGCTTTTTTAAAAAGCTCGAGCTATACTCATATGTTTCCTTAGGGAGCTTTGGTTGGACGAGTTTTTTTTAAAAGCTCGAACTTTTCTCATAAGCTTCCTTAAGGGGTTTTTCAAGTAAACCCATTGAAATTTTATTTCAGCTAGCTTATATGCTAATTTTATCAAACATTTTTATCATATAAGCTAACTTTTCAATCATAAGTTATAAGCTATCAGCTATAAGCTCAAAGTTAACTTAAAAGCTATACGTTAGCTTATAAGCTACAAACCAACTTATCAGTTAGGTTTACCAAACATAGTATAACTCGTGGCCACGGTAAGCTAATTTCCTGTAATATCATTTGATAGGTTTAAAAATAAAAGTTTTCTAACCATTTGAATTGGCTAAGCCTCTTCACTCGCCCAAACTTTTTCCCCCCTCTTCTTTTTTTAGGTCGTCTGTGTTGGCTGACGACCAACCAGTCGAACTTTTTTTGGAAGAGGGAGTGGACATATTAACTCGTGCCTACGGTAAGTAGGAGAGCGGGACTGGGTAAATGAATATGTGTTTTGTAAATAAATAAAAATTGTTTTTAAATCACAACTTTTTATTAAGAAAAAAGAAAAATCTCATATGTGAAATGAAAGATAACATCTCAATTTGCAAACTACCAAAAAATATCTGAGAATGAAATATATGCATATAACTAAATCTCACTCAAAACTCAAATTTTTTTAAAAAAAGGAAAGAAAAGAAGAAAGAGTAAAAAGGATGCATATATATACCAATGAAATACTTGTTGACAAGACTTGGTGAGGCCAACTTCCTCTCAATCTGAGTCATCTGCCCAATCTTCTCTTCAACTGTCATTCTCTTCATCAAATCTCTGATCCTCACATTCAATGACTGTTTTGGGTCTTTGTACTTTGCCTCATTTTCTGCTTCTGCAAACCCAACAGCGGCCCACAACAACCACCAAATGGCAGCTAACCGTGCCATCCCCATTTAAGCTCTTATTATATACCTGCACTTAACAAATTAAAGTTTTCTTTGTGAGCTCGAAAGNAAAATATGTGTACATATGTTTTCATGTATTAGAACATTTGGCCGTACGTGGGAAGAACTATGGAAAACACAGCTTTCGTGTTCCTTGTGTGTGTGTTTTTCTATAGGATGTTGAGATGTCATATATATAAGCATAATACGTGGGTGTACATATGCTTGTGTGTTTAGTGTTTGGCAGAAAGATGTAAATTAAGAATAATTGGTTTGATTTGACCCGTACTAAGTGGCAAATGTTAGAAAACCACGTCTATCTTACACAGTGTTTGGTTCGGGGGAAAGTGAGGGGAGGGGAAGGGAGGGGAGGGAATTTTATAATTTTCTCTTGTGTGGTTCAATTTTTTGTGGGGGGAGGGGTTGATATTTTCCCTTCAAATCCCTCCAGGAAAATCTCTTCCCCTCCAAAAGTGGAGGAATTTGGAGGGGAGGGAAAATTTATCACATACAATTACTATATTATCCTTTATATGTAAATTATTTTATTATTTTGTTTCTTACATCATTAAGGATACAATTGTCATTTCTACAATATTTTCTTTCCCCTCCCTTATTCTAACCAAACAAGGTTTACCATTTTCCCTCTACTCCCCTCCTACAAAATCTCTCCAAACAAGGTAAAATTATTATACTTCACCTCCCCTCCCCTCCCCTTCCTTCCATTAAAATCCCTCTCCTCCCTTCCCCTCAGTTGAACCAAACATAGCCTTAGACAAATATGTTTACGGAGTAAATTGATAACTATTGGTTTCATTAAACTCAGTGGCGAATTTACATGGACTAATAGGGGGTAATTGCCCCCCTCAATTTTTTTTTTATTATTAATATTAAAATTTTTAATTTGCTCCCCCTTTAAATTTATTTTTGCACCCTCATATTTTTTGTTTTTAAACGTCACTCGCTAGACTAAGTTGTCCACAATTGTCAAATAACAATTCAATTGTCAAATAACAATTCAACACTTCTTTTATTTTACTACTAATTTTGTATATTAATTATTATCATTCTACAATTTTAATTTGCCCATATAAAAGACTTCAACTCTCTTTTATTGCCCAAGCTAGGTTTGATATTTTTTGATCGAAAATTGAAAACCGAACCGATGAGAAAATAAATCGAACCGAACTGACTTATGTGTAACGGTATCCGAAAATTAGTAACCAAAATGTTATCGGTTCGCTATCGGTTTTGAACCCATTATGTCATGTCTTTTGCCCCCTATCAACTAATTTTCTGGTTTCGTGCTGATTAAACTATATATGTTGTGTGGCAAAGGTACGTAGAATACACATCTATCATTATATAAAAAGAATAACCTTTTTACAAATTTAGAAACTTTTTCCCGCCAAAATCATTAAATATATCCTATATATAGTAATTGTTGAACAAATCTGAATAGGCAAAAAAATCGGCTCATTAATTGTGTAAAGATTTGTTTCTCTTTTTCCTGTTTTTTAGTTTATCAAAACCGTTGTTTGACAATAAATATTTGTTTTTCTTTTTCCTATTTTTAGTATAAATCTACACGAGCTTATCTCTTCTGTTAGAAAATCTCATTGCATACGTCTCACGTGTTTAAAAAATCTAATCCCTTATGTATACAGATTTGAAGAAATAAAATAAAAATCAATTCATAATTACTACTAGAAATCAATAATCTTTAAAATAAAAAAATAAAATAAAATAGAAATAAATTCATAACTACTACTATAAATCCATTATCTACTTTAAGAAGTTAATTTTCATCGGTCTAATTACTAATATTTTTACAAATATTATAAGTTAATCATACAAAAAAGTATAATAATAATTTTGAAATGGTGTGCAATCAAATTTTTTTATTCTCTTATACAAAATAATTTTACATTGTTTGACCCCGAATCTTTAATTTATAATTATTAAGTATTGTTTATCCTCTTCTTTAATTTATAATTATTTTTTTTCTTCCTCTTTTTAAATAGGATCAATAGTACTTTCCACTTCCGTTATTGAGTGACTAAAACTCGAGATCTATTTATAATATTGTTAGTTTAATATTATTCCCGTGCATCGCACGGGGTATACACTAGTGTATATGTATATGATACCAATTTATATAGAATGAAAAACTATTGAACGGAAGATTAATTATTGTTCGATTCAACCGTACTATGTAACAAAGGTAGATAAATATATCACAAATTCTAAGAACAAAATGATAAGCGATGTGTTGACATTATTTCAAATGTACTATATTTATTATAGGACATTTATCAAATCATCATTTATTTAGAAATACCAATTGTTTCATTATCAAAACTAACAAATATATGGAAAAGTTAGTATACCCTTTACCAGGGGCGTATCCAAAGGACTAGTGTGGGCTAGCTACTGGGAAAAAAATTACTATGAGCACTATAAATTTTATTCAACCCACTTGAAAAACAATATATATATATATATATATATAGGGAGAAGAGATGATATGAGAATGACAGATAGTGAAAGAAATAAGAAAGATTATAGATCATTGGATCAGTACGATCAATGGACATGATGAAGTCAAAATATACTAATAAGAGTCAAACATGTAATGGCAATAAAGTAAATAAGTTAACATATTGTGGTCAAATACTAACATTTGACCACTTATTAGGGATAATTTTGGCATTATAAATAATATCATCAACTAGTGAGACCCACCTAAAATACTAATTAATTGATCCACGCACACCCATCACCCACCACCTACCCTACTTACCCGTCCCTCACACACACAATTCACAAATCACACGCACTAAACACACACAAACACACACAAGGTCGACGGAGCCGCTGCTGCCGCCGGAACAAAGCCGTGCCACCGCCGCACCCATCGCCGGTCACGTCGATGCCGAAACCAACCCTCCGACGTCGATCTGGAGAGCTCTTCGATTCCGGCGATGTACATGGACTGCGGCCATCGACATATCCCATCACCTGTGTAGTCGTCCTCGCCCGACAACCATTTATCGCTGCCCGCCGTCGTTCTCCTCCCCCTCACAAAGGCGGCGACGCTCCGTGAATAAATGGCGTTTTGTGTGTTTTTTTTTAATAGCGCAGAGCCGCGTGGATGCGGCGGCGTTAGTTGTCGAGTGATGAAGACGGCGGAGGTGACCAAAATGATGGCCACTGAACGTCAGAGCAACCTCCCGGCGGATGTGGACAGAGGTGGCCGGTTGAAATGTGTTTGGATTTGTGGGTTTAAGTGTTTTGGAATTTGATATTTTGTAGGGGCTAGATTGCAATTTTTTGAAGTTTCATTTATTCCAATTTAATACTTGAGGCAAATATGTAATATAACAGAAGTTTAATTAATGACCAACATATTATGTTATTATAAACCTTTAAGTTTAATATGCCGGATAACCGAAATAACAAAAAAATAATAATTGAAATGAATTCTATTATCTAATATAAATTCATCTTTAATATTATATATTTTATTTTGATTAAAACATAGTATATTATATAATCGGAATATATTGTGCAATATAACAATTATTAAGGTGCAATTTGTCCATCACTATAGTGCATGACGACAGTCTGTATTGTGCAGCAGATTGAACCAACCGAACCTTTTCGCCTTCAATCGAGTTTAACATGAACATAATTGATACATTCGGTTCGGTTAACCGAATTACCTTAAATAATCAAAATAACTTGTTATTTACACTAAATTTATTTTTAACATGTTAGTAATTTTATTTATTATTTTTATATAATTCATGGTTTAAAAAAATCGAGTTAGGTCATTTTTGATATATTTGTGCAATTTGATAATCGTGATAAAGCGTACTATTTTGTAAAGTGCAACGTGTTGTTTTATAAAGTGCAACGTGTTGACTTATAAAGTGCAATATTGAGATTTTACAACTATAAAATTAATAAAAATAATAAATGAACTGAAATATAAAATATCGAACCGAAAAAATTAGTTGGTTTATTTTCAATATTGTGTAATTATATAGTCATTAATATGCAATGCATACGATTCTAATGTGCACTTGCGATACATAAAAATATAAATAAAAAAATTAGATAATATTTTTTCATATAATTCATAATGTTTAGTTATTTTGTTTTTTTAGAAAAACTAAATCAGAATTTATCCAACTAATATTATTTGATCGATTAGCATAATTACAACAATTTTGGTAGATTTAGCGTGATGTTTTAAGGTGCAACATGTTGTGTTATAAAGTGCGATGTTCTGTTGTATAAAGTGCCATGTTGATATATACGGTGCAATAATGAAATTTTGATACATTTGCCTGCCTGTGTTTTGTGATATGATGTATATTAAAATATTATGTAGATCTGTTTTATAAATTTATATTGAGTAATATTTTGTTAAAAACTGTTGACATTAATTGTGGATTGTGGTGATAAAGTGCAACGTGTTGTTTTATAAAGTGCAACATTATGCTGTTTAAAAGTGCGCTAATTTATACATTCCCATATAAATTATGTGTATTCGAAAACTAGTTTTAATATATATAATTTTACATCGAATTAACCTAAAAAATTAAAATTTTATTTATAATTTTATTAAATAATTTATTTATTATCATAATTCCTTTTTTATATTATTTTATGAAATCAAAATTTAAGAAATTGCAAATAGACCCTTTATCATTATCTAATTTACAAAAAAAAACAAATTAATTCTAAAAATATTCCTAAATCCCTAATTTTTTGGGGCATCTGATAAAGTTGCAGAAGACATTCGTCATGGCTGACCTTCACGGCTGGATTGCCGACGAGCGACATCTGATCAACCGAGACTGAGACGCGGCCGTGAGGACGCTCCGAAGCCGCTGCGAGGGGCTCTGCATCCCGTCAATCGCGACCACTGCCGGCCGCCAAATACATATTGCGGTGCGTCAATTTCAGTCCGGTTCGCCAAAGAGATCTGGCCTCCGGTCGTCCGCGACAGTGGAGGCGGTGATTTTTCGGTGTTTGGATGGTTGCCACGGCGACCGGCGTGGGACAGAGCTTCGCGATGGAGAAGACGACATGTTAAACGCTGGCGATTCAGAGTGGCAGCGAGGCGGCACCTGGCGGACTTCCAGTGGCGAACGTCGGTAAGGCGCTTGCCGGCGGGAGTCGGTGCGGCGGCAAAGACGTTAAGTCCGGCTGAGATTGTTTTGTGCATTTTACTCTGTGTGTGTGTGTGAAGGATTGTGTGTGTGTGTGTGACGGATTGTGTGTATGTTTGTGACGGGGTTACAGTGAAAGAAGAGTCTGACTGAGGAGCGGCGGCGGCGGGCGGTGGCGGAGAGTT